TATATATATATATATATATATATATATATATATATATAATGTGTGCAATGGTTCAACAGATATTTCAGGAAAAGAAAGACACGTGAACTTTGGCAAAACCATTATCCCCCACCTTTGCCTTTTGGCAGTAGGCGATAAATATGAGGGTGGGTTTTAACAAATGCTTGGGAGACATTTGAATTCCTGTTGAAAATAATCTTAAATCTATCTGAATCTATGTCATACATATTGTGTTAGTTTTAGAGGATAAATCCATGGCCTGTAATTATTAAAAAAACTAATTCTTAGCTATCATCGCAGCACCATTAATGGATTAAAAGGACGCTTGCTTACACAGAAAGGATAATCCTTTCCTCTGATGGCCCAGTTGATATAAATATTGCTCTTTTGTTTCTGCTTAAGATTATTGGTGGAACTGGGAGGGGATCATGGCGTGTGAGATGATTGATAGCAAAGGATAATCTGTCTGAAAACCAAAAAATGTGTCCGAGGATAAGTGCTTTACGAAGCCTTACTTAACACCAAACTGTTGTCATCCTGCTCTCCTGAACAGTTCCTAATAAGATCCTCACATTGTTTGTCGTACATGTGTGTGACATGGTGGATGATTGTGTTTTCACAGTCTCTAACCGTCTGTCAGCGCTCCCTGACCACCATGCAAATCCAGATCCAGGGTTTGCTGCAGTTCTCAGCATCGATTTTCCCCACTGCTCAGGTAAGTGGGCGTCTGACAGACTATTACACAAAGCTGTGGACGGTTGTGCATCACCCTGTCCCCTTGTGTCCCTTGTTCTACAGAGAGACCTTTTAGGGATCCAGCGACTGTTAAACTCCACAGAGTTCAGTCTGCACCAGCTAACAGCCTTGCTTGACTGCCGCGGGATACATAAGGTAAGGTCAGAGTCTGACTGGGACATTTTTTAATGGGTGCTCTTTGTTGTGGAGCTCAAAGCCACTTAGCAAACCACTTGGAATGATTTTTGACCTTATCTTTGTACTTCCCATACACTCACATGTGTATATCTGCCTTTGTACTGTGAAAATACTGTGCATCTGAAAGAGACTGACTCTACTCACCACCTCCAGGTTTCTGATAGGGAAAAAAAAAAGTTATTGCACACATCAAGCTTGGACCAGAACTGCAAATGTCTCTTGGGATGTACAATAATGGATGAGGAGGTCCCCCTGCAAGCCAAAAAAATTATACCATTCACATTTGTTGTGACAATGCTGTAACACATTCAACGTTTCTCCAAAATTCTGCAGCAGAGACGACACATTCGACTGATAAAAACAAAGGACAAGACAGTTTTTCCAAAACTTGTTTGTCAAACATAAGAAGCCGAGCAAACCAAGAATGCATCCAAAACAAGCGTCATCAGAATTAGTCTGTGCTCATCACTTTGCTTTCCCTGCAGTGAAAGGCAGCAAATATTTGTTGTCACCACGCAGAGAACAAGGAGCTGTTGATTTTCTCCAGTTTAAAGTGGAGTTTCAACATTGTTTGTGGTTCTAAATGAATTACATGAAATTAGTTTCTTTAAAATCAAAGACTCAGCACTCCTTGAAGGAGCTTATATTACACCGAACAAAAATATAAACACAACGCTTGTGTTTTTGCTCCCATTTTTCTTGAGCTGAACTCAAAGATTAAGACTTTTTCTATGTACACAGCAGACCCTTTTCTCTCAAATATTGTGTATAAATGTGAGCACTTCTGCTTGGCTGAGTTAATCCATCCACCTCACAGGCGTGGCATATCAAGATGCTAATTAGACAGCAGGATTATTGCACAGGCATGCCTTAGGCTGACCACAACAAAAGGCCACTTTAAAATGTGCAGTTTCATCCACACTACAATGCCATAGATGTTGCAAGTTTCAAGGGAGCGTGCAATTGACATGCTGACTGCAGGAATGTCAATTTTCAGAGAATTTGGAAGTACATCCAACTGGCCTCACAACCACTGAGCATGTGTAACCACACCAGCCACTGCATTCGTTGTCCATAATATACGTCTGCCCATACCATAACCCCACCGCCACCATGAGCCACTTAATTCATAACATTGACATTTGCCCACTCAAGTTGGTTACAATGAATTTGAGTCAGGTGGAAACCCCAGTAAGGACAATGAGCATGCAAACGAGCTTCTCCAAGATGGTTTCTGACAGTTTGTGCAGAAATTCTTTGGTTATGCAAATCGATCGTTGTAGCATCTGTCTGGGTGGCTGGTCTCAGATGATCTTAAAGGTGAAGATGCTGGATGTGGAGGTCCTGAGCTGGTGTGTTTACAAGTCGTCTGCGGTTGTGTGGCCTGTTGGATGTACTGCCAAATTCTCTGAAACGCCTTTGGAGATGGCTTATGGTAGAGAAATGAATATTCAATCCACAGACAACAGCTCTGGTGGGCATTCATGCAGTCAGCATGCTAATGCACACTCCCTCAAAACTTGCAACATCTGTGGCATTGTGATAAAACTGCACATTTTAGAGTGGCCTTTTATTGTGGTCAGCCTAAGGCACACCTGTGCAATAATCATGCTGCCTAATCAGCATGTTGATATGCCACACCTGTGAGGTGGCTGGATTATCTCAGCAAAGGAGAAGTGCTCACTAACACAGATTTACACACATTTGTAAACAATAATTGAGAGAAAAATGCTTGTGGTGTACATAGAAAACATCTTATCTCTTTGAGTTCAGCTCGCAGCAAAAACAAATGTTGCACTTATACTTTTGTTCAGTGTAATATAAATGATTTAATATTTTATAATTTTGCCCTAAAATCATCTTTTGTTAAGCAATGACATTGTAGCCATTTTGGTAAAATCTTGAAAAAACATTTTTCAATATCTTGCATAATCTGTTGGCATTTGGATCATATGTTTTGACTGATTGTCAACTACTACCAGCCATGACAAATCTTAGCTCAGTGTTTGCAAAATTCATTAAGGTATAGTCTATTTTGTGCAGACTCAGATCGATTAGCTGTGGCGGCCATCTTCATTTGGGTTAACTCTAAATGTAATCTGTTATAGATGTGCATACAAAGATTACTTCCTGCAGGTTTCACTGAACTTTGTGCAGTGGTTCATAACAGTCACAAACACATGCACACGCACACACACACACACACGGACTTGGGTAAAAACACTTTTGTCCATCTTCACCTTTCAGATGGCGAGCAATAGTAAACATTATTAGTGCCGGTGAGTAAGTACAGACATGAACTAAACTGCCACTTTCACAGAACCTATGTTTTTTTAGTATCACTGGTGCTGTAGGTAGATCCATCTAGAGGAAATGATCATGGTGATATGTTATAATAGTTTAAATATATTTTTATATTTTTAGAATGCTGACAGTCTTATTGTTTCTTTTAGGACTACCTGGATGCCCTAATGGGTGTGTGCTATGATGGGGTGGAAGGGCTCCTCTACCTTTCTCTGTTTTCTCTCCTGGCTGCTTGCGCTCTCTCTGCCATGCTGTGTGTAATTTTCCGCCTGTGGACATTAATGGGCAGCAGGTCAGTGCCAAGCCAACTCCATACTCCATTATGTACTGCTTGCAATGTACTCCTGCAAAAAATATGTTCACTCTCTCTGTTTGCCTGCCTACATCTTCGTGTGCTCTACGACTTCCATCCAGGGAAAAGGAGTACAACGACATAGACGAGGAGGACCCATTCAACCCCGAAGCACGTCGGCTTTCGTACAACCCCAGAAGGTCCAACACACACAGCTTCTGTAGTTATATCAGCAGCCTGGGCAGCCAGGCCAGCCTTCCTCCACCTCCTCAGTCTACTTCTAATTCTACCTTACCACCTCCTGAATACATGTAAGATCAGCTATATATGACGACGCCCTCACATTTGTGCTGTTTTTAGTCTCTACTAAGTTTTCGTTGCATTACAGGAATCAGTCCATGCTGTTTGGAGAGGCCCCTCGATATGAGAATGTGCCGCTGATAGGGAGAGGCTCACCACCTCCCTCGGTTCGTTGGCCTTATGAAGCTTTAGTGTCTCTAGTGTAATGATGATGATGTCACCAGATAGTATTAACAGGAAGCATGCACTATGAGCATATGCACTGCAACCTTTCTCAGCTAATGTTGAAACTAACTTATATGTGTATGCACGTGATGGAAGACTGATCTCTGCTGGCCATTTGTCAAAGTGCACCTATTTTTAACACTAACAATTGTTTTTGAATTGGATTTAGTCTGATTTTAATTAAATATGGGCTTACCGTACATATAAAATGGAACATTAGTGGGAAACAATTTCCTGTTAGAGCTGCAGCCCTATAAACTTGTGTTTATCCACTTTAATTGTTGCATTTATTGTGTGTAGTGGATCGTATCTCCATAGTCTGAGCTAAATAATAGATAACAAATGGAATACTGACAAATTCACAGTCCGCGTTTCTGCTGTGTGATGTATTTTATTTTATTTTTTTTGCTGTTCCTGCGGCTTCATTTGCCTTTAGTGCACACCAAAGACTTGGCAGTTTTGTTTTGTTTTTTGAGTGGGAGAAAGCTGGAGAGAATCTGGATCACTGTTTAAAATGCGACTGCCTCTGTGAGGCTCATTTTTAACAGACGTAGGCATCTGTTCTTTGTGTATCTGTGACAAAGATGCTTGAAACTTTTGAAAGAAAACATCGCAATAAATACTACATTTTGTGCTACGCATGTCTTTGGGTTTGAGGTTTTTTTGCTCATCAGCATTTATTTTTTGTGTGTTTCTCAGTAGTGCGTCCAACTTATTCTTATTTGTTGTTTCAGTCTTTTATAGCTGCAAGTTTCCTGTCCACTTCTGCATTTTCTTTCTTTCTTTTTTTTTCATGTTCCATCTGTAAACGCCTGTCAGGATATTTGCCACACAGAATGTTTTAACCTACAGACTAAATTTAGGGACATACATACCACAGCTTTGACCTCCTGGCACTGTTTTTCCACTGTGTTGCATGTGAGTGCAATTTATCTTATGTCCATTTATTTTTGCTTTCATTCCCCTTTTTACATGCTTTTTAATTTATTTACCCTCCTGCTTTTGCATTCTTAAGTAGAAAAACAGCACATAAAGATGGGAATTGCTTGTGGAAAATTTCATGTGTATTATTTTTGTTTCCTGCAGTATACACCCACCATGAGGACTACATATCTATCTATGACGGATGTCCAAACCAGACACTTTGGAGGTGAATTCCACGTGTAGCCTGCCACCTGGCGAACACTTCAGTGCTTCGTTTTGGGGGTTTGAGCTCCCACCACAAAGCTGTCTTTGTGGCATAATCCTGTTTACGGGGACAACAGACTGACATCTAGTCTAAGGCATGAAAGCGGGCCATGTGGCGTCATTACTGTAGCAACACATCAGCACACTGCTAGGAAATCTCTTAATGCAGTTTGGAACAGAGTTGGACTGAACAGACGCATCTGAACAATTATCTTGTCTATGGCACTCCTGCAACGTGAATGAAAGCATTTATGTGATTTAAATAACAAAACTTTGAACTCAAAAAGCCCAACGATGTCTTTGTTTTAATTTAAATATCCATGTGACATAATAGGATACGATCTTTGCTCAGTGTTAGGATTTTAATGTAAAATGATGGGCAAAATTTGACCACATAAGCCTTCAATCAATGTATATTTGCAATATCTCCTTTGCTTGGAAGAAATGTGTTAATTAATTCTTGGCCTTTATTTAAATGGTGCAATATGACCTGGGGTACTCCCATTTTTTAATTTTTGTAAATCATAAAGGAATGTTTAATAAAGAATAAACAATACGTTGTGATTTTGTTTTCAAACAGCCAATGATGCCTTTAAGAATATATCAAATATATGAGGTGTTTAATACAACTATGGGGATGTAGCTGCATGTGGCAACATCGTTTTGTACCTATCACCAAGAATAACAAAAATAATAAACCTGTTTATAAATGTGCTGCAATTTCATCGTAAAATAAAATGTCTTATTATTATATAAAGTACATATAAATATTTTCTTTGTTGCATTTTATTTCGAAACAAGCAAAATCCTGCAAAGACCGCAGTGCCACTACGATGAATATAAGTGGAATAGTTTGAAAATGTCATGTTTATTTAGCCATAAAAACCATTTGAATTTTTAGAGAAATCTTCTATATGGTGTTTATGTGTCCAATAAAGTGTCCAACTAAACTATGGTGCACTGTCTTAAAATGCTCACCGTGTACTCTTCTGTTACGGTACTGTTATTCTACTACTACTTGTCTAATTAGTATGATGACCCACAGTAAGAGTATTAGGATAATTAGGATTTGGCGTGACCTTAATATGTCACCAGGAACAGTGTCGTCAGTCAGCTGCATAAATAGAAAACCATGGAAATTGTCCAGCTCTTCCATAAAGTGTTTTTCAGATTTTAGAAATGTAAAGAGACAGGTTTCATTTATATGATAAATATACACACACATAGACGTTTTGAATGTAGCCAAATTAGCTAAGTGCAAATAGTTCTCAAAATTTAACTCTAACTTAAAAAAAACGTACTAATTTCTTATTTAAAAAAAAAAGGCTCCAATTTGTTTTTATTTCTGTTTAAAATAAACTTTGTTTAAATAGTTCTGCTAACTACTTCTGATGCAGTTTTTTTCCTACCAACATTCACTATCAAAAATAAATTTTGCCATTTAAAATAATCTTACAAGATATCTTTTTAAAAATGACCATTTTTGCACAGCACAACATAATAACCTTGGCATACTTGTGTTACAAACTGAAGAGCTTATCTAAACTGGCCATAATGTAAAATGACTGGACACGTGTCTACAATGAAACAAATTGTGGCAGATATGCTACTGTTGGGTGGCACAGTGGCACAGTTGGTAGAGCTGCCCCTCTCATCGAGCAGGTCCCTGGTTCAAATCCCGGACCGGCGGCCTCTCTGGGTGGAGTTTGCATGTTCTCACCGTGCATGTGTGGGTTTTCTCAGGGTACACCGGTTTCCTCCAACAGACCAAAAACATGCATGTTAGGCTGAATGGTAACTCTAAATTGTCCCTACAGGTGTGTGTGAGAGAGTGAATGGTTGATTGACTCGTTTGTCTCTGTGGTCCTGTGATGGATTTGCGACCTGTCCAGGGTGTCCTTTGCTTCTCGCACAATGATAGCTGGACATGGGCACCAGTGACCCCCGTGACCCAAAAAGGAAGAAGCAGGTAAATATAATGGATGGATGAATGCTACTGTTTCTGTTGCACGGACAAAATATAAAACAGTTTTCAGAGTAAACAACAAAAAATGTTAAAGCATGTCATCTGGACATGTTTCTTTAAGTGAAGAAAGGTTTCATCTCCCTTCCAGAGGACTTCTTCAGTGTGGCATGTCAAACAGATTTGTCCCATAGCTTTATCTACTTGGATGATTGAGCTTACAAAACAGTTTTCAGAGTTCATTTATTCATTGTAGTTCAAATATTCAAACTGTTCTTGTTCCATTTTAGTTTAAACATTTAACGTTTTTGTGTCCACCTGACAGCATAACTCCCATTACTAGTACCAGTATTACCAGTATTCATACTGAATATGTGAAAATATCGTTTGTGATATTAAACACAATTTAGTCACAGCGAAGTCGTCTCTCTTCTTCAGTTCAGATGTCAGGTCCTGTCTCGCTTGCCGTAGAAAACACGGAAATGCCTTACTCATAATGTAAGCGGTTAGCTTGCTAGCCACCTCAGGCTGTTTATTACAATAACATGCACAGTATTAAATAACATGGTGCACGTAGACGAGAGAGGATGTGGCTGAATAATGGGAAACGTCTTTGGGAGAAAGAGCCGACCTTCCCGTGTAACTGAGCAAGACAAAGCCGTGTTGGTGAGCTGAAATCCGGAGGAGTGATGCTGCTCCGTTAGTCGGTTAATTTAGATTGTACATTAAGCAATATTGTTACTTGTGGAAATATATATATTAATGTGTGCCTTCTTTAGCAACTGAAGCAGCAGAGGGACAAGCTGAAGCAGTATCAGAAGAGAATCAGCCTACAACAGGAAAAAGAAAGACTTCTGGCTAAGCAGTTGTTAAAAGATGGCAAGAAAGAGTGAGCAAACATTTACACAATAAGATAGTTGAAGTACAGACGCTCAGTAGCGTCACCTTTTTATTATGCACAGAAACGAAATGCATTTAAAAGCAATTCATGTGTCATTGAGCATTTTCTCTTTACATGTATGATTGCAGGAAAGCACTTCTGCTTCTCAAGAAAAAACGCTATCAGGATCAGCTGCTGGACAAGACTGAGAGTCAGATTTCAAACCTAGAGCACATGGTAAGATACATTTGTTTGCAAGAAAATATTCCAGACCTGCTGTTTTTAACATATTTCACCTGAAGAGAAGAAAAATGCTAACTTTACCTCCTGAACTAGACTGATTAAATGCCTAAAGTTTTAATAAATGTGTCAAACACATCTGTCGACCTTGTGTTGAACTGCATATGACAACTATATCTTGCATGCATGGCAGTATTTAAGGAGCAAGGAGATAGCTTTACTTTTACCCAGAAAACACAGTGAAATCTTTCAATGGTATCTTGTTTTTTTTTTGTTTTCTTTCAGATCACTGTTCTTTTGGTCTTGCCTTGTGTTGTTTGTTGTGCAACAACAGTCAGACTTGCTGCAAAACGTAGTCTGAATTTGATCAGTCAAAATATAGTTTGACAAGTCACGTGAGGACTTAAAATTTGAAGGGTTTGCAGCCTAATGAATGATCAAACGAGCATGTCACAATTTTTAACTTTGCAACTCGCCTATTTTGTTTTCTTGTCATTAACTTCACTGCTGTTTTTCTATGTTTGAGGGCAGGTTCAAGATATAGAGTTCATGCAAATCGAGATGAAAGTCATCGAGGGACTGAAGGTTGGCAATGATTGCCTGAAAAGTATGCATGAGGTGGGTATTTTTGTTCTATTCAGAATTAAGCTGTGCACACTCAGTACACCTTTAAGCTTTTCGTATGGAAGTGCACACAATAAGAGTGTCAGAGTTCTTACTGATTAGCCTGTTTTCTGTAACACGATCCCTGAGCGAGGATTGAGCAACACAGTACAAAAGCATAGCTGGTGCACATGGTTTGAAGATTAAAAGCTTAAGAAGAAAAGCCATGACTACAGCAGTGAGAAGGCTTCGCATCCTTGGATACTGAAACCTTGCTTTGGAAATATACAAGCCAACCAGAATTAGGTGACAACACATTTTGTCCATACACCCTTCAGTTGCTAAAGTGGGCTTCCTTCCTTGTTTGTGACAGATGATGTCAGTTGAAGATGTGGAAAAAATCCTGGATGAGACCCAAGAAGCTGCTGAGTATCAAAGGGTAAACAACATTAGTCAAATCTAATTATACAGAAGAATGTGTTTGTTTTTTTTATTATCCTAAATTAGTAAACCTTTTCCAAAATAGAAGAATGTTACCAAGTGACAAACACTTTAAAGTACCAGTAATCTTCCATCTTTTGTTTTTGCAGCAAATAGATGAGATGCTGGCTGGAGCTCTGACTCCAGAAGACGAGGATGCTGTTTTAGCAGAGCTGGAAGCTATCACTCAGGTGGGTGTAAAGCTGAATGTTTAACTTTTATTTACACCCAGAATGATTTTAGAGCATGCACTCTCCTCGCTTCACATTTTTTTAGCTGCGCTCTCTTGAGTCTCCAGCTGTCGACTGCTTCCTCCGGAGGGGAGCTGATTCACAGCTGAGTCAGAACAGGATGTTGTACCAAAACACGCATCGCTGTTTTGACCTCAGTGTAATTTGCACGATATTTAATCTTTGACTCTTGAAGGAGGAGGATAATTAATCAAAGTTAGAAGAATTTTAAATAAATCACAGTGCCATTGTAATCTTGATAATGAGCTGTAATTGAAAAAAGTTGTGGTTACAAATTTGGCTGATTCATAGTGATTAAAACCTTACTGGATTGTTCTATTGTGGTGGAGCAATCATCTTAAATGACAATCAAACTTCATAAATTACCATGTTGAATACTTGAACACAGGCTGGTTCAAAGACTGGCTCCAAATGAAACTTGTACTATATTTTTCTGGAACTAGTTGTATTTTGGGCAAACAAATCTGATAAAAGACAAAAGAAAAACTAAACATTTACTATACCAACAAGTTAGTGGCAGTTTTATGTAGATGGGATTTCTAAATGACAAGAAATATTCAAACCGTGTGTTTAACCAATTTTATAAAATCACAAGTATTAGAAGATGAAGCCACTGCAAAGAACAAGTTCAAGCCTAGAAATTAAATGCTAAATATATATTTTTAAATATATGTTTACAATCAGTCTTTTGGTAAAGAAATAAAAAATTGAACATCAAATTTGACATTTTTTTATGTCTGCACTACCTAAAATAAACATGTGAATTTAACTGTAGTTAACTTCATTTAAATATTTCTAAACTGCAGCATATACACCATTTTTCAGCTTTACCTCTTTAATTGTCTATTACACTTTTAGCCATTGACTTCTCATTAAATTGTAATGCACTTCCTGAATTCTCAATGAAAGAATGAAAGATAATTTGGATCTTGTGCGCTTCATATTGTTTTTATTTTAAAGCATATGTTTTTTGTTGTTGTTTTTTTTTTGCACAGCGAGAAGATTTAGCACTTCCAGAAGTCCCCACAGAGCCAATACCAGAAGTACTAGAATTTGCTAAAGCTGAACCAGGTATAGCTTTTTAAAAGTTACACGTCCTTGAATAAAAACAAGTTTTATATGTTTTATGTATGTTCTGATATTTGTGTTTTTCAGAGAGGACAGAACCAAAGAACCAGCCAGACAGAGAGATGCTTGCAGTCTGACAGAACCTGTGATTTAGCTCAAGCTCACATATATAAAGTTTTGCTTTTAGTTTTGGGACGTGCATTTTCAATAATTAGACTGATTCAGGATCGTCTGGACTCTTAATTGACCTCTCCCCCTGAAGTAACAAGATAAAGTGAAATGTTGTTTTGTACAAGTAGTGTTATGTTATTGCTGTGCTGAAGGATTTTTAAATGTTGAACACTTTAATTTATTGTTTCACATATTAAACTAAGCTGTTGGGAAAAGTGCAGTCATGTTTTTTCTTATCTAAAATGATAAACGTGTTTCTTTGTCTGACTGTGTCACATGTATTTTAGCAGGAGAGGGCGCTCTTTGGCTAAATTTTATTGGTACTACACCAAAGTGGGTGTTAGAAAAAAAATAGCTTGTAGTTTCAAATGTGTGGGACATATTTAGAAAAAAAAGTGGTATTTATTAGGCATTTGGATATTAGTTGGCTTGAAGTGAAATACAACTTATCCCTTGGGTTTCATAAAAGTTACTGGCTGATTAAATGTGACTTTCTACATGAAATATGGCTTTTTAAATGGAAGGGTGACTTAATGACGACAGAGTGCACATACTTTTCAAAATGTAAACCTGATAGGAGCTAAAGTGACATTTTTTGTCACTCCAAATAATGTCTGAGAACATTACTCCTGACATTCTAATATTTACGCAGAACTTTTAATGGCTTTATATATATATATATATATATATATATATATATATATATATATATATAATGTGTGTGTATATGTATATATGGTGTAAACAGAGGCTCCAGAGATTTTGTGGGGGCGGAACCAAACCTACACTGACAAGATAATGCTGTGTTCATGGGCAGTAGGAAAGACGTTCTGTTCTGAGCTAGTACCATTTTGTTTGTCTCTAATGTTGTTCCTTTTATTAACGTTTAGAAATAATTTCCCGTTCGTCATTTGTCTGTAAGTCCGTGTTGTTTAAGTAGCAAACGAGATTGTGTGCGGCATTTGAAAGCTTTTGATCACACTTTGCGTTTGGCTGCGGTAGGAGTGTTAAAAAAAACACACCTCCGAATCGGTCCGTGAAGGCGTCAGCGGACTGACAGTCGCGCGGAGAGGAAAGGTGTGTTTAGTTAGCGAGGAGTGCTGCTTCATTCCTGCGGTTGTATGTGTCGCTCATTGTTTGAACAAACTTGCCTTTTCTTTTCTTAAAACCGCTGCTTTTTTATTTTTATTTTTTAATTTTTTTTTTTTTTTTTTTACTCGGATAAACGAACGTAAAGAAAAATCCAGTTTATGGTCCTGGCTGAAGAATTCACCATGTCTCGCACCGACGAGGTTAACCGCATGACGGAAAATGTTTATAAGGTAAGGTTCAGCTAATTAATAAAGTTTTTCAATGGGCACCGTTCGAGCTGTCCAACAGGTCCGAGATGAGCAAATGCATTGGAAAAAAAACAACATTTAAAATTACTTTGGTAATCTCCACAGAAGCTCAATAGCGTTTTTTTTTTAACATTTGCCAATTAATGAGAATGATCCATCTTCACTCATTAACCTATCTTCGCTGTTTGATAGTTCAATTAGGGCCAACACCTTCCAGCCCAAACTGCTCTTGTATCTGCAAAAATCAGAGTCACCCTCATTTTATTCAGGCCTGTTGAGTGAGTCCACCTCCATCGATGAAAGTAACCAATTCCCTGGAAACCAGCAGGTTTTAACAGCCTGGGTTTGTTGAAATACGAACACACTGCATTCCAGAAGACGGTGTTTGGCAGAGAGTCTGTTTGTCGCAACAAGTAAACATTTGTCCCAAACCTGTTCTTTAGAAAATACATCTGGGGAATTTTCATGCAGTCATTGAGCCTCACCTAATTAGAGAGAAAGATATTGTTTTTATTTTTGACTTACTGTTGGGTGCTTTTACATTCAATCCTAAAACAAAGATCTAAAAGACAGGATGATGAATGGCTCTACATTTATCAGCCTCTTGTTAATTGCTGCATAATTTATTAAAACGTGTTTCATTGTCTTATGAACTGGTCAAACTTTCTTTTGTAAGGATTTAAGTGTCAGCACATCAATATACTTGCAGTCATTTGGTCTCTTGTGGTCCTGCAGCCCAAAGTTTCTGCTTTTCTTATTACATTTTGAGGCCATGCACTGTTGGGATTTTGTTTTTGCACCCACTAATATGGACAAACTTAAAATAGGTGTTCAGGATCTCCAATCCTTTGGGGTCAGAGAAGTTTTCTGCAAATGGTCATTGGAGAATAAATCCAGAAATGAGCCTCGGGGAGAAGTCACCCTGTCAAGGCTTGGACAGAACTGTGATGGACTGGCAGAGTCCCTTCTTCTCCCTGGGGATCTGACCCAGAAGCAAAAAAACAGTGAGGTTAGAGTGCATTGTGTATGAGACTGCTTAGTTTGCATTCCTCATGTTTTCTGCAACAATAAACCATAAAATAAAGCATTTAAAGTAAGGGTCACTTTGATTTTTTTTTTTTCTTCCCTGAATTTTGTTTTAATCAATTTTCCAATCGATACTTTTCAAGTGTTTCCCGTCAAATCCCCCGCCCCCCACACACACACAAAAAAAAAGTCTGTTAACTGATACTTTCAATTTTATTTATCGGCCATCTTTATTTTTTCTTAGCGTTCTCGGTCAGAGAAATGTGTGCAATTTTTAAGAAAACCGGTTCATTGTCTAAAATGTATTGGTTTTCTAAATTTGATTATTCTTGCACTTTTGGAAAACTTGCAGTTTTTGCTTTAAACTGTTTGAATTGGATTAAGAGAAAAATGCTAAAACAGATTAAATCTCACCCCACTTTTCGAGAAAGGAACGGATGCAGCGCAGCAATTTGCAACGGTAAATTTTCATCTTGTGAGATGTTACCTTTACAAAAGGCTGATTTTTACGAAGGACATTTTGACTTAAGAGGGTCAGGAGGGTTGAGGTGTATTAGCGAGAGCTGCATTCCACTTCTACAGCTGTGTTTGTTGGTTATCGTGTAAAAACATTTACAAGCAGAACTTTTTCTACAATGAATGCAGCCCTCTCTAATACACCTGTGCCCCCCCTGACTCTTTAAAGTCAAAATGTCTGCAGTGAAATGAGCCTATAGAGGATTTTCCTTTGTTTTAGTTCCATTATTTGTTTTCAAGCATTTGAAAAGCTCCAGTGATCAGCTTTTTGTAAGGAAAATGATCCCAAACTTCTACTTCTGCTTCCTCTACTCATGCATCTGAATACATGCATATCATTTGATCTAGTTTATACACAAACCAAGGTCTCTTGAGAAAGAGATTTGAAAACACAGCAGCTGTAAAGTCGTTGCAGCCAGCAGCTGGCCAGATACACTTAGTAATCGCAAGGGTAATGAGTGGGGGGTAAGTGCGCTGCTGTGACTCATGTTAGCCCAGCTGAGTGTGTGTGTTTTAACATGGCTGAAGCTGTACACGTTAAGGGTGATACTGGGTTCTACATCTTCCTGCTAGGATTGTTCCTTTGCTAAAGGCCTTGGGCACGCCTGTGTTTTCCCAGCAAAACTTAATCAACAAGAGCGTCAGCACTGTAAACCCAGCAATTTATTTCTTTTTGCATGATCCTTCATGAGTCACTTCAGTTCTCCTCCCTCACAAAGATAGGCAGCTCCAGACATGGCGATCGGCATCTTGTTATTCCCATGCTGACATGGTGAGACGGATACTTAGGACTGACGGTGTGTCGGTGCACGTCTGCACCGCTGTCATCTCCACCAGCTGGGGAGGATGGTGCTTCAGGTCAAGCCTCTTAGCTCATGAATGGATGAAGGCTGAGTGCTAACCTGGCTTACTCGAAGTGAACAAACAGATTAATCGAGAGCAGGAGGTAAAGAAGAATAGGACTGCATGCTGTTGCAGCTAAACACTTTTGTCCCAAAGAGTAACCAAAGTTCACTTTACATGGAAGCAAAGTGCACACGCCTTTGAAGTGTATACTCTGTGAGCATTCGCTCACTTTGTCACAGGAAGTGTGGTGTTTTCTGTCTGATACATGCAGTGCAAGTTTTAAACACACCCTGACAGGTAAGGACATAGAAGGGTGTGGCTCATCGGTACCAGCCCTCAGGATAACACACATTTTCCAATGCAACACCACTCCCTGACTGTCAACACAGCCTGCAAAACAGTGGTTGCCATTCTCTGAAGTGACTGCAGAAGGCCAAACTAGTTGTTTGATATTAACTGGATCAAGTGGGATAACTATCCACGTTTGTTACTCTAATCATAGTAGTCGGATTCGTCACTGGTTTGGATACAGTTTGTTGTTTAAAAGACATCTTGATCATTTTTTGCTTTTATTTCAAACATTGTCATGGCATTCGCTTCATTAGCAAGCATGATGCTCTGACAGTAAGAGAACTACTGTTGTGCTGAACTCATGCTGGAGATCCGAACAGGTGGTCTCTTAGCAACAACGTGCCATTATTCTTATGTGTTTCTGTCATATTATTGTTCTAAAAAGACTTGGTGAAGGGTGCGAGAACGCAAGTGGGAAGGAGGAAAATGGACGGATCACGTGAGCTTTTGCAAACATCATGTTTATTTCAGAGAGATTTTAAAAAGCTTTAAGAAAGCCCCAGAAGGGGTTGAGTGTAAACCAGCCCTGTCTGCTGTATACACAGCGGTGATCCCGTGGTCTTTCATCAAGAAGCTGTTCGGAGACGCCCAAATGAAAACGTAATCTGTTGCTTCATTTACCTTTTCTGATCTGACAGAGTCGGGCGCTGCTTCCCATATAAAATCTGATTTAAAGGAGTGTAAAGAGACTTGAGCTCGTGAACGTCTGCCTCCAGAATATAGTGTTTCAACAAGTTTATACCTGCTGGCGCCTAGAGCCTTTAAATGATTGCATTATTCACTGCGGGAGTTATCATAATTTTGATTGCTCGTGGAAGAACAGATTTGTTCTGTGCGTTTTACTGAGATGCAGAGAGAGGACTATTGCTCTACACACCCACCTTCTCTGCACGTCTGGGGGCGGATGGTTTAGAGACGTTCTCTCTTTTCTTTTACTCAGCATTGCTTTTTCAAGGACAGAGACCGGCAATAGGCAGTACTAACTGTTCAACTGCAAAGAAGCTTCACATTACTGGTGCTCGCAGTCAGTTTAGTCACATTGTTGCATGACTACTGTCTGAAATGACACAAGATAAAAGTCATAAGCAATGCTCTTTAAAAATCACTTATGTGAGTGTAAGAGAATATATGGTGAAAGAGAGAGGAGAAAAATAGACTGAGGCAATCCTCATTCTTGTTGAAGTCTCTAATTACTGAAGAGGGTGACTCTGTAATTACACAGACAGACAGAGGAACAGTAACAAAACTCTTTAGAGTACCATGGCAGTGGCCTTAGATTGGAGGGTCATGAACTAAAGTCTGTGGCAACTCTTGCTCAATATGTCTGAGATGGAGGCTGCACTGGCCACACTTCTAATCCAGCAACCACAGTGCAGCTGTGCTAATGTGCACAAGAGTGGTAATCTTGCACGGAAACCCAAAATTTAACTGAGTTTTTATTTTCCTCTTTGTGAGAAATTAAACCACGTCAGGATTTTGCCGTATAAAAATCACTGCTGTAGGCTTGGCTGCTATGGTACAATGCACTTTCAAATTATATATGTAATTATTTTAAAAAAAATGCATTTACACATTCAATTCAATTCAGTTTCTTTTATATAGCGCCAAGTCACAACAGAAGTCATCTCGGGGCACTGTACAGAAACATTCATATACTTAAAATTAAGTTAATAACATCTGGGAGCAGACTACTTTGAGTTTAACTCCATCGCAGAACTCTCATCTTGAGCAAGAATGAAGGCGACAGTGAAAAGGAAAAACTCCCTCGTGAGGAAAAAACACCTCCAGCAGAACCAGGTTCAGAACAAATGGCCATCTGCTTCGACCCGCTGAGTTTGAGGTGACGGGAGGGAGGAACAGATACACAATGGCAGGTTGAGAATCACATGTTAAGATAGAAATAATATAAAATGAAAACTATTCAATTGTAACTATTAATTTTAAGAAATGTGGTCAATTTGTCCTTCAGTAATCTAAGCCTATTGCCTACTAAGCCAGAGGTGGTTTGGGCATCTGGTAAGGATGCTCCTTGGGCGCCTCCCTAAGGAGGTGTTTCAGGCATGCCAGACTGGGAGGAGACCCTGGGGGAGACCCAGGACATGCTGGAGAGACTATGTCTCTCAGTTGGCCTGGGAACGCCTTGGAGTCCTCCCAGAAGAGCTGGAAGAGGTGGCTGTGGAAAGAGATGTCTGGACCTCCCTGCTCAAGCTGCTGCCCCTGCGACCCGACTTTGGAATAAGCTG